TATTTGTGTGTGAGCATCTATCACCTACCATGAAAGGTATTCACGCGGCGGCCAGAGCAAAGGCGAAGGAACTTAATTTCAAGTTTATATGGGTTAAGGGTGGCAACGTGTATTTGCGTAAGAATGAATCTGCGCAGTACGTGCTGATTAAGTCCATTGAGTGTTTGTCAAAATTAAAGTAATATGAATAATCACTGCATTGAATGTGTTTTTTGTCTGGTCTAGATATATCTCTTTTTCGTTTGTTTTGCTACATCTGCTTAACTAATGAATTAATCTATATTATTAATTTTGTAAATTTGTAAGTTTAAATTAAATTAAATTAAATTAAATTAAATTAAATTAAATTGAATTAAATTAAATATTGTATTCAAAGAATGTATAAACGCTCTAATCCGATTGTTGCAGTTCGCACTCATGGACGCTGTATTATTTGTAAATTATATGATACTAACTAAATACAATTTAATATGTTACTATCAAAACGTTAGAGGCCTTAGATTGAATAACGTACAGGTTCGTGAGGAAATATTGCGAAATAACTACGATATTATTATTTTCACAGAAACTTGGCTAAACAACAGTTTTTTTGACGCCGAAATATTTGATGACAGGTATGATGTGTATAGGCGGGACAGGGAAAGCTCACCTATGTGCAGTTCTAAAGAGAGGGGAGGAGGGGTTCTAATCGCTGTTTTAAAAAAGTATTTATCGCGACGAATGAATGAGTGGGAGAGTGATTGCGAAGATGTTTGGACTCAAATTATATTAAATAAATCAAGAGTGTTAAATATTTGTGCTGTTTACCTGCCTCCTCCGGTATCACAATCTATTTTGGACAACTACCTGGTAAAGTCGTGCGGTGCTTGTGAGAGTGATGGTGAGACAATTATTGTGGGTGACTTTAATTTGGGAGGAATAATATGGAAAGCTGATGTTGATCGGGGCCACAGTTCACCAACTGGTTATGAAAATTGTTCTTTGAGGGGGAGTTTCATAGATTTCATGTCTTTAAATAATCTTGTTCAGCTTAACCATGTCTCAAACAGCGGCAATCGCATTCTTGACCTTGTTTTAAGCAGCATGCCAGACATTAAGATTTATGAATGTACTAGACCACTGCGAAATATTGACAAACACCATCCCCCTTTGGACATAGACATTGAAATCACTACAATTCCTAATAAACCTCGCAATTCAAATACAGAACCTAAACCGAACTTTCACAAGGCTGACTATGATGCTATCAATCTGCAACTGGGTAAAATTGACTGGAATGATTTATATGAGCGGTGTGTTGATGTGAATGATATGGTTAAAATATTTTACGAGCATTTGGATAGAATTGTTAAAGAATGTATACCATTATCTTGCAAATCTAAACTTAATAAATATCCAGTCTGGTTTTCGCCAGCTTTGATAAACTTACTAAAGCTTAAATACAAGTATCATGTTAAATTCAAAAAATACAGGAATCGGCTCGACAAGATAGAATTTGATTATTTGCGCGAAGACTGCGATGCCCTAATGCGGGAGTGTTACAGAAATTACATTAATTCAATAGAAACGTTAATACTCAGCAATCCAAAGTTTTTCTGGACACATATTAAAAATAAGCGTAAGAACGGTTCCAATTATCCGCCATCTATGTCTCTAAATAACACTACAGGATATGAAGGAGGTGAGATCTGTAACCTGTTTGCAACTCACTTTTCTTCCGTGTACGAACTGGATACTGGTGGTGATGTTGATTTGGATGAGGTGGGCATGATGGATGCGATTCCGGATTTAGTGATTGAATCTCACTGTGTGGAATATAAGCTCAAGCATCTTGATTTAAGTAAAGGTTCAGGTCCTGATAACTTTCCGCCAGTCTTTTTTGCAAATTGTGCTGAACAACTAGCAGTCCCATTGACCATAATTTTTAACAAGTCTGTTACTACGGGAATATTTCCTGACACTTGGAAGCGTGCTAGAATTGTGCCAATTCACAAAAATGGAAAAAAGGACTTGGTTACGAATTATAGGCCTATTTCTATATTGTCCACCGTAGCAAAAGTCTTTGAGTCGATAGTATATAGTCATATGTTTAGGCATGTCAAGAATAAACTATCACCGAATCAGCACGGATTTATTAAGAAGCGATCTACGGACACAAATCTATCCCAGTACATTGATGATGTAGCATTGGCAGTCGATACTTCAGGACAAGTAGATGCAATATATACCGATTTTTCCAAAGCTTTCGATAAAGTTAATCATCGTATATTGATAAACAAATTAGCTCACTTCGGGATTAGGGACTCCCTACTTCAGTGGTGTCAATCATATTTAAATAACAGGTGTTCTAGAGTTGTAATTGATGGTTATAGTTCAGATCCTTTTATTTCATGCTCTGGAGTGCCGCAAGGTTCAAACCTTGGGCCATTGTTCTTCATTATATTCATTAATGACATTGAAAGATTGTTTAAGAACTCGATTTGCTATTTGTTTGCTGATGATCTTAAAATAATGCGTGTTATTAAAAGTCTCAATGATGCTGATTTGTTGCAGGCTGATATTGATAGACTCATTGATTGGTGTCACATTAATAAAATGTATCTGAATTCGTGTAAGTGCTTCCATATTAAGTTCACATTAAAACGTAAACCTCTCAATACCCAGTACAATATCTCAGGTGAAACTCTTAAAGAAGTTTCTAAGATACGAGACTTGGGTGTAGTGGTGGACTCCAAGCTTAAATTTTCTATTCACATTGACAGTATGCTGGCCGCTGCTAACAAATCACTAGGATTTATTTTTAGAAATGGAAAGGAGTTCAGGAAGGTTTCCACTACCTTATTACTATTTAATGCCTATGTCAGAAGTAAGCTTGAGTACTGTAGCGTTGTGTGGTCCCCAACATACCGAGTCCATGTTGAGAGAATTGAAAGAGTCCAAAGAAGGTTTCTACGACACCTGGCGTACCGCTTCAGGCCGCCTCATGACGTAAACTGTTACAGTGCCCGACTTGAGCACTTTGGCATGCAAACTTTGAATGGTAGGAGAAATACTTTAGGCTTATGTTTCTTACATAAAATTATGAACGGCATGATAGACTGTCCGTCTATTCTCAATAAATTTGGTTTGCGAGTACCCCCACGTCCGCCTCGACAGCCGCGTCCTTTATTTCATGTCCGTTTGTGTAGAACGAATGTAGGAAAGCATTCGCCAGTCCCCCGCCTATCTAGTTTATATAATCGACTGTCCGGTGAAGATGAAACTGTTGACATATTTTGTGATACATTATATAAATTTAAGGAAAGAACAATTTTGTAGCTTTAGCTTAGGTTTAATTAATTTATTATTGTTATTATTGGATTTAAATTGTTATTATTATTATTATTATTATTATTAATTTTAATTTCATTTTATTGGTAGACATTTTTCTTTTTGTACATTTAAATATACATGTAAGTGCATGCTGTGGTTGCCTATAATTGAAGTTGCAACTATATGTTAATTAATAAGTATTTATTGTTTTGTATACGTTAAGTTGTAAACTTTGTTGGCAATCCTTAATAAATAAATAAAATAAATAAAATAAATAAAAATTATTGAAGAATAAAAATTCTAAAGTCCTTCATAATAAGTCCCATAACCAAGATACCAATTTGCTTTGCTGGTATAGATATACCAATTTAATAGCAGTAGAGCTTCTTGTGAAAGAGTTCGTCCAGGGAAGTACTGTGACCAAACTTATTTCTGGCGCCAAGCAGTAGTATCAGCATTACTGTGTTCCGATTTTGAAAGCTAAGGGTGCTGGTGAAATTACAGACACATGGGATTTGTCAATTTATGTCTCAGGGTGACCTTGCGATTTAAAGCTCTGAGTGGCACTGCAACTGTTATGGACAGGTGTACAGCTTACCATTACCGTCACTTGATATTATAAAAAAAATCAATGTGTAAGTTGTAACGGTAACAATATGTAACCATATGACAATGGTTATTTCAATACAGCACGCGAACACCATGATAAATTTTATTGTTTGTACTGGATTTTAAATGTTTGTTGAAAATTGATTTGTTATAAAAGTTTTTTGTTGGTATTGTATTACTTAGTATTCACGGAAAAATTTGTTGTAAAGAGGCAGATACCACAAGAGCGCGACACTCCGCCGCGGAACCTTTGGACTCGTACAAACTCATGGAAAATAAATGCGGCTATATTTATATTATATTATATTATACATAATTATATTCAAGTTTGTAAATGAGTATTGTATATTTATAAAGAAATAATATAGTTAATATAAGCTAACCTATTGCACTTTCGACATTTTTAGTTTAAAAACTTTGCATATACTGCACAATAGCGGCAGGACATAAAATGTAGCGGTACCAATTTTTTTATATATAGTTTACTATATATTCGGGAAAATATATCTATACGTCCTTTATTTTTTTACTTAGCGAACTTACATAATAAAAAATCAAAAAATGTCCTGTAATATAAGAAACGCTGTAACGAAATTTTAACAATCTATTGTTCCAAAAAGCTGTTAGTTGGGAAAATTTAAAAATTATAACTATAATAATAATAATTATGATAACAAGCTGAAAATAATGAAATTAATAATAATAATCATCATCATCTTTATTGCCTCTTTACAAAGGTTTTCCACTAAAGTAATAGTCTTATGGCTAACTTACAAAGAGAACTTGTAACTGAAAGACCTTTGTAAGGGACTGGAGACCATACTAGGTATAAACCGTGTCACAAATCTTCAGACTCTTCGGACACAACAGTTGTTGAGAGCAAGAATAAAATTATGTTTTTTAAATTTAAGTTAACTAAGAATTACATGCCATTATAGTGTATTAAGACTATTTTAGTGTAAAATACGGTTTAAGCTGAGAGTGATGCAGTATATAAAACATTTTAATACATTTTTTTTTTCGTTTTTCACGTCACGAAAATTCCGTCTGTTAAAGATACCTTTTCCTCAATATTCCAGGCTTATAATCCTGCTAGCACTATTGATCGGTGTGTTATACTGCATCCACCTTCTGGTAAAAGATTACCAAGCCTTGCAAGCGCCTAAACTGCTACGGATGTTGTTCAAAAGGGATGTCAACTTACAAAAGACGGTAAGAGCAGCAAAGTCACATGATATATTGACATCGATACCGTAGTATAATAAGACGAGTAATGTAACTTTATATAAACGACGACTCTCGTTGTACATATGTACAAGCCGCGTTGCACAACGAGAGTCGTCTTCTATGGTTATTTGAACAAAAGTGCTTCACTATTCAGAATTGAATTTCGTTTTCATAATCATACTCCCATAATCGTACGTTGTGTATTATTAAGGGCGGTAAACAAAGAATTACGAACGAGACTATTAGAAGCCTGAAGTCGAAGACTGCGGGCTTTCGCAGTCGAGTTCGAAGTTCCGTGAAACATACAATGTTTTTCATCACACTTGCATGTAAACAATATGATTGCATACAGGCTAACTTGACTATAATGCCCCAAATAAAATCCTCGGGGCCTTATTTCTTCTCATTCATACCATAGCTGTAATGAGAAGAAAAAAGGCCCGAGGGTGCTTTTGGCACATTATAGTCAAGTTAATCTGCACAGTCATACTATTTACGTACAAGTATGATGAAAAGGTTATTTCAATAGAATTCTGTGCTGAATACAGTTTTTTTTTTCAAATTATGCTTTCAACTTAAAGGAATAACTAAAGTAATAAAATTCTTCACTCCGAGCAAGGTGTAGGCGACTCTGTATTTGTCTTATAATACTATGTCACAACTGAGTAGTGATACTTTTGGGATCAAATACCGCCATTGCATGTAGGTAGGTACAAGGTCTGCTCCTATATCTGTAGTCCGCGGTGTAGCGATTTTCAACCAACACATTGGTAAAATGTAAATTAAATTAAGTAAATTATTCCGAGATACTCGAATTAGATTTATTTATAGATGAAAATAGATATTTTTAGATGGATAAACTTGGTTCAAGAGTTCCCCTAATGTTTAATCCACAAGAGCATATTAGGCTAAGCTAAGTATGCTACGTAAAATATTTTTGATGGGATCAAATGTGTAAAAAGAATTTTCTGATACAAAGATTTTGTATCAGAAAATTATTTTTACACATTTGTTGAATGAAGTAATTTTGTACGGCAAAGTAAATATTTGGTTGCCTAATTTTTCTTTTTTTTTGTTGAACATTTTTCGTGTCAAATAAATTTTGTTTGCGATACCAAAAAAGAAGTCTTTTAGAGATTTGCAGTGTTTTATTTAAAATCTTATACAATCTTATATATTTTATGTTATCAAATTAAAAGACATAATATATCTATACGCCAAACGATAGTAATATTTGATAGCAGGAGAGCTCCTTGTGAAAAAGTTCGTCCAGGGAAGTACTAACTGCTACCTTAGGGTCGAAACACAAAACCGCGAATAGGCGCGATACGAATGCGCAACGCAGAAAAATGCGACGCGAATTGCTGCGATACGATTTCGTACGGCAAGGCATCTCACTGCCACAGTTCGGGTCACAATTACTTCGATGATCGTCAACGGTGCTCGACGTATGGTTTAAACTAGTTAGCGACGTGGATCGTAAAAAGCGTGTTGCACTGTAGGTCAATGGTTGCACTGCTGTTATTGATAAGAAAATATAGGAAAAAAACACAAACAAGATTAACATTGCCGGAATGCGCGATGTGCAAATTCTTGCGACGCGTCATGCGAGCTCGTAGATTTCTGCGATGCGACGTCGCATCGCGGTATTGTATGTCGACCCTTATCTATTCCTCCCGCCTAACAGTAATGTGAGCATTTCTGCGATTCGTTTTTGAAGGGTAGAGGGTGCTGGTGAAATTACAGGCACATGAGACTTGTCAACTTATATCTCAGGGTGACGGGCGCAGTTGCAGTGACCTTCAGATCTTTGCAATTTAAAACTCTGTGCGACACTACAACTGTTAAGCGCCTCGTAAACGATGAAATAATTTGTCAAATTTTACGTGTTTGTCAAACTTTTTGATCGTCTGCCGCGTTTGTCAAATAATCTATGTATTTGAAGGAAATGTAGATTGACGGCGTGCTTGACAAACCTTGCTAGATTCTGTATATTGATTTGGTTCTGTGCGCAATATTTCTATTAACAAATTTTCGTGGGTATATTTGTGTCCTAATTTCAACCATTCTCTAGACCAACGTCTATTTCTTTTTTCTTAATAGGTACATAGTGCTAGATTTAATGCCAGAAACGGTTTATCTGCTTTCTTACTCATAACACAAATTACAAAGAAATATTACTGATGGTACGGTACGTACGACTGTAGAAACAGATGACCGATTGTGAACTATAGGCGAGTTTGTCAAACTTATTTTATGGTTTATTTGATCGTTTACGAGGTTCTAAAAGCTAAACATTGCGGCGGAATGGAATGGAAACGTCAATCAAGAGAAGGCGCGCGCGGTCGCTGGAATACTCGAGCATTCCAGCAATCGTGCTTTGAAACTGTAGTATTTCGTCGAAGTTTAACGTCACACTGCGCCTGCATTCGCGCCACTTGTCGCTGACAAGCTGCGGAATTCTCGCGAATGCGCGAGTATTCTCGAGCATGCGCGAGAATTCCGCGGAAGATGCGCGACGTGATTTTTGGCTCGTATCTAGTTTGTACGTTACTCAATTAGCTACAAAGTTCATTATGCTCTGTACAAAATCGTTACAAAAGTTCGCTTCCATTCCGTTCCGCCGCAATATAAATTAAGCCTTATAGAATAGCGTGTCACTTATCGCCTTGTTGTTGTTATACAACTTGTTCGTTCCGTCTCTTGCTATTATAAAAAAAACTTAGCTGGGGCTCATACAGAATCTTGCAACGTAAGGATCGACCTTTTACATTACTTTTTCTTTACAGAGACCAAACGTAAGATGGAGAAAGATATTACAGCATGACACAATACAATGTACACGGCTGCTCTTCTGTGATCTTGGAGTACGCCCTCCAGATACTGAAGTTCGAAGAGGTTTCGTATTCATGTTAACGTAAGTTACGAACCACAACCACTTAAATAACTAAGTATATTTTACGCTATTTTCATTTGTCTTATTCGATGACTTAAAACCTTTGGTTGACTTTAAATACATTGCAGCTGATGCCCTCGTGGTTTACTGCATAATTTTTTTCATCCGGCGTCGTGCCTCCAAACCAAGTATGACGCAAATCAGAGCATGCGTTAAAAAACAATACAAACTTGGATTCACTCAAGTCATTATTAAACTTTTATTATTTGAAGATTTATACCAACTTTGAAGTTTGCAAATAACTTAGGTACCTCTATTTAGAGGTACCTAATCTATTGTTACGAAAAACTCTGAAACACATGTTTATCTAGTTTATAAATATATAAAGTATCTAAACCAAGTTTTAAATAAATCGCACCACGCGTTAAAAATTCCCATACAAACTGTAACACCTCATTTCACCCCTATTCAGGGGAAATTTTTATAAAATATTATATTAGTGTTTTACCATTTACATTATAGAATATTTGTTCTAAGTGTCATCTTTGTAAGTTCAATTAATACGATTCCTCATACAAAAAAAATACTCCTGTTCACTCTCGTAAAGTTAGAATTGCTGGGCACATCTGCCAGTGATTTGCTCCGAACCTTACTCCTATATAAATATGTATGTACAGGGTTAATTCTAAAATAATAATAGCCTCCTAGATATATTACTAACTGTATTACTAACATCATAAACAGCAATCTTTGGTATTTGACTTTTTACAATAAATTTACCAAAAATAAGTTTAAATTTTTATGTGAATACGTAGAAAAAGCAAAAAAAGCCATGTAATTACAGCCCGTTTTTTTCAACGCAATTCATACACTCACGTTAATTGTGTGTACTTTGACCTAGCCTATATTAAAGACTCAATCTGTTTTAGGCATAAGCGTCAAGGTCCAAGAAAACAACCACAGTACTTTTTAACGAACCGAAAAGTGCTAAATAGTATATTTAAATATAATTCACAATTTGGTAAAACAATGTAAAGGTCTGGCGGAACGCTTACAACAACGGACAAAGGTTTAAATTATTCGTCGCTGTCAGCGAGCCACTGCCCCAGCCAGTTGCCAACATCCCGGGACCTAGTGCAGAGCACGGTTAATTAGTGGCTGGTAGGTGTTGTCGGCAAGTGAGCGATTACAATAATATCACCTACTACTGACAGCGATGGGGTGCTTTTTGCACATGGGCTGAACGGTCTCCTGGTGAGAGTAGGCTGTTTCCATAATGGCTTTAGCGCGCGAGGGCGTGCGCATTTTTGAGACGAAGCTGAAACATTGCAGGATAGGTCGACAGTTTCTGTAATATTTATGTTGGACACCGAACGGTCATTACATTCTTTGACCTGCTGCGATGTAGAAGGTTTTTGATTAAGTCACCTGACGTTTGCTGAACAGGTTTTAAGATATAGTTATAGACCACACCGTTTTGCCTTGCAGGCGTTCCACCAATGGGGGTCGCTTTTTAAACAACGGTAGCAAATTTTGGCTTCCCGTACGCAAGACTGCCTGTTTTCTACATTCAGCGATTTAAAATCTGGCCAAGCGACTGACGCGTGTATTTGCTGGCAAAAGACACAAATAGAAGTATTAGGAATTTTAGTTGACGTTACATGAATTGATTCCCGTTTAGAAATAGGGGGTTTGACAGCGTGTGTTGCCAAGGGGCTCATGAGGTCTGGCATATATGTGAACTTTATTAGTCTGTCAGCCTCTCTAAGTAGAAATAAAGAGAGAATTTCCAATTTAGAACAACCCTCGTGTTGCGAGTCCGCAACGAAATCGGCGAACCTTCTGATTTCTGATTTCTATTTCCGGAGAGAATAGGTACTCCTGCTGTTTGAGGCCTTTGATAGAAGTAACGCAATTACTGACCTTATTTGCAAAATGATTAAGTTGCTCTGGATATGTCACTTTAGTAAAAGAAACGAAGTTCCGCGACCTCTCGGGCGATCACTAGTTCCGGTCGAGCGTAAGTTCGCTCAAGTACGCGTAGAAATTCATCTGGTTCCTGCGTAGTGTGAAGAAGTACGTCCACCGCTTCACGAGTCCCCGCAACGCGTCCGCCAGGCGTTGCGGTCCAAGCATGTCGCTGGAAACGGCGAGGGGGTGGCCTGGACAACGTTTGGCATCGAACCTACGATTGGTTCCGGGGCACCAGGGAGAGAGTCCCTGACACTTTGAACCCAATATTGTGTGCTTAATATGTTTATAGAACATAGACTGCCCTGCGTATGACTTTGTGAGCCTTAAGCATCAAGTGCAGCTAAGGTGGCTTGCAACTCTAACTCCATCACTTCTTTCACTCGCTTAAATTGACGCCGACGGTGCTCAGAAAGAAAAAAAAAATTAAAGAGAGACAGAAAGAAAACAGTTTATTATACAAGCACAGACACGCATATAAACAAAATAACAGAGGAACAATAATAATAATAACATTCAAAATTAATCTTTTAGGCTCTCTGAGAAGCGAGAGTCTAAAATAAATAGTGATACAATAATAATAAAATATAAAATGAAAAAAAATTTTAAAAATAAATTATTGATAATGCAGTATTAATTCACCGTCATGCGTGTCGCGCCGGGTGCAATCGGGACTTGCTCAGCTTTAGCCACAAAAAAGTTTTTATTTAAACCGTTTCGTGGCGCTGATTTTCAGCAAGCCCGGGCGAGTGAGCCACTGACAACAATACATATTTTACTCAACAATAAATAGATAAATAAATAAACAAATAAGAAAACCGACATAATAGGTAGTGTACATGCAACTACATACACATATGAAGTACTTTGCAAGCTTGCGTGCAAGTATGGTTGCCGCGGAGCGATGGGTACTTCGTCAGCTCTGAGGCAACGATGGGTGCTTGCTGGAGACGCCTGAAACAGAGCACGGACCAGACGAAAAAATAGAGCATAGAACAGGCGAAACTACTTGAGCATGCGACACATGCTGATTTTGAAACGAGGTGGGTACAGCGCTGTCGGGCATGTTCGCAGCCGCATCGTTGTCAATTTTAGTCGCTGAACGCGTTTTTACCATATAGTCGGAAAAAAATTTGACAAGTAAAAATATCAATTTTAATTTTAGGCAAGTGCCCAAAATTCAAAATTGATAATTATATTAAATGTGATGTCCTTCGATTTGGTAATACGTCAGTACGTAGCGTATTATCGAATCGAAAGACCAATGTTAACGAACCAGCGGACCATTATAACACCACGAAAATGCTAAATAGTATATTTAAATATAATTCACAATTTGGTAACATCACAGACCACATAAATACTTTCTTCCGTGGGTAAAAAAATGTAAAACTTTGGCGGCCCGCTGACAACGACTGACAAAGGTTTAAATTATTCGTCGCTGTCAGCGAGTCACTGCACCCGCCAGTTGCCAACAGTACTAAAAACCACAGGAACTAAAAAGTTAATAAATACATAACTTAATAACCTTTCCATCTACCACTCACAGGGCATTTGAGTTGATAATTTCAAACCACCTAAGTAGACATAACGAGTCATCATCGACCCATTTAAAGGTCCCACTGCCGCCTCTTCTCAGGCGAGGGTCTAGGCCATGGTTTGCCACGCTGGCCCAATGCCGGTTGGGGACTTCACACGTTTTCAGAGGGCTGTAAACCTTCTTCGACGTGCATGTTTTCCTTCACCGAAAAGCTCATGGTAAATTTCAAAATGAATTTCCCACATAAATTCCGAGGTGCGATATTCGAACCCACGTTCTCTGTATAAATGGTGGTAGGTCAAACCATTAGAGCGAGTATACTCGAAATGAATTTCATCGCGCTAACGCCGCGCCGCCGCCGCGCAGCGACCGCGTGCACGTGTTCAGGGATCGAACTGTCATATCATGGCAAACTACGCTCTACTTATTTAGCTTTTAAGTTGTAACTTAAATGAGAGGCTGCGCAGTTGTAATATTCCGAGGAATTTAAATGTTATTGCCTAGTAAATAGAATTTAGAATCGTCATTAATGTACGTGAAAGCGTGGATACCACGCGGCGCGGCGGCCGCACAAAATTTTTCGCGTCGTGTGTCTGGGCGCTTAGGCTACCACGGCTTCTTTTTTACATTATTCTATAATGTAATGAATAGAATTTCATAAATTCTGTTCTGATAAGAAATATACGTGATAAATATACATATATGATTAGAAATATACGCCAAAAGTTATAGACTGCAAAAAAGTTACATCAAAATGGCTAACGTCGAAATCGTATGAGGAAACCGAAGATCTATTAGAACACTTGCTTTAAAAACACTACTTAATCTATGGCAACAGGTTAACACACATACACACACACATACATACATACACACACTCACACTCACTCACTCACTCACTCACACGTACATACATACACACACTCACTCGCACGTACATACATACATACACACACACTCACTTACACACATACTCACACTCAATCTCACTCTCACTCACACACACACACACACAAACACACACACACACACACACACACACACACACACACACACACACACA